AAAATCTCTAGTCAAGAATCTCAAGATATCCAACAAAAACCAATATTGAATGTAAGATTTTGAAATTATCTTCACAAATTTCAAAAATAAAAATAAAATATATTACATTTTTTCTCTATTATTAATAAATCATATTTAGCCATTTTCTTTGGAGATGCACTATGATATCCACCATTTTAGATCCAATGTGAATGCTTTGCGATGAGCGATATATGCACTTTCATTTTTTGTTTAGATTTAAATTAAATTTTATTCTATTAATTTATGAATTAGTGAATAATGACTTATAAGTGACTTTAAATGTGATGAGAGAACTTAATAATGTATTGTATTTATAACAATTATAATAGAAATTCGAGAATTAATTTGCCTATGCAGGATTTGAACCCACATCTGTATTACATACCGCTCTACCATTTGAGCTAACAGGCAATATTGTTTGTTTAAAGAGACTCTCATCTTACACTTACACATTGAATACGCATTTTAATCCTTTAAAATTTGCATTATTCAACCCATATACATATATAACACATAACATTTTAAATGCATCATCAATTTCAAAAACTTTCACCTTGCTTTTGAGAATGCAGAGTAACAAATGCTTTTTATCCTTTAACATTTTTACAATGCATTGTCTTCTCATGTAAATGCATCATGTTGACTTTAATAATGCACAATAACATAAACTATGTATCCTTTGTTCATTAAACTTTAACAAATTTTAACTAGAATTAAAAGTCATGCCATTTCTTTTTAGCAAATGAAAATTTGCAATTAAATCAAGCTTTGGTTGAAAGTTTACCAGAAATTTATACACATGCATAAAATTCACTTATTCAGTGTATTCATTACTGGCTATAACCAATAGCACACTCAATAAATAACATTATGTAATTACAATGTCTTGAAATTAGCTTAAAGATTTAAATTTTTACTCTATATACCTTAGTCAAAATGCACCAGATAAAGTCATGGATGCATAACTACTGTGTTTAAGATCACCATTACTATCCATCATTTGTTTCAATACAATTCTCTTACAATGCATCATGCACATTCTTTACTGCAATCTATATCAAATCTCAAATTCTCACCTTTTACGCTATCATGTGTGAAGAAATTAATGAATTTACATGATATTTAAGTGTGTGTAANGAGAAAGAATGCTTGTACAGAGAAGAAGACTTACATGTTGTTTTTATATATGAACCCTATAAGAAAAATGATCAGATTAGAAGCCAATTTTGATTGAACAAGTTATTGAAGGAAGAGGGCAAGCGAGGAGAAAGGCCATCTCGTGCAGGTTTATCGGATCGGTGAATGGATTGAGATCGCGAGATCTACGCTTTAATACTAAATTTACCGATGTGCCCATCTCACGTCCTCGAAGGCATAGTAATCGAGCAGTAGATCCAACGGTTGAGATAAATTCTTATTTCTTTCATTAGATCATATTCTTATTTGAACCAAAATCTATATATATATATATATATATATATATATATATACAGGGATTGACTCCAGTGAGATGACACCTGATGGTAAGATGACATGCTTCAATGAGATGACACAACACACAACACTGCCAATGAAAAGCTCACCAAAACTGCCAATGCAAAGCTCACCAACTACCAATGCAAAGCTCACCAACTGTCAATGCAAAGCTCACCACTTTTTTTAAATAAAAAAAGTTAAAAAAATAACACCACCACTCAGCCACCACTCAACCACTGCTCAACCACCGGTCCACGGCAACAGTGGGAGTCATCAGTGGTGGACATTAGTCCTGGGCGGTCAAAGTGTAAAGCTCACCAACTATCAATGCAAAGCTCACCAACTGTCAATGGAAAGCTCACCAAGGAACAATGCAAAGCTCACCACTTTTTTTTAAAAAAAAAAAAGCTAATAAAGCAAAGCTCATCACACTACACTACAAAGCTCACCAATGGACAATGCAAAGCTCACCTGGAAATAAAGCAAAGCTCACCACTTTGAACCCCAAAACTCACCTTTTTTTAAATTTTAAAAATTAAAAAATTAATTAAAAATAAAATAACAACACCGGTCAACCACCGGTCAAGGGCGGCAGAGCAGTAGTGGCGGCCGGAGCCCGACGGCGGCGGCCGGAGTCCAGCGACGGCGGCTGGGATCCGGCGACCGGCAACCGGCGGCGGCGACCGGCGACGGAGACCGGTTTCAAAAAGGCAATATGTAATCTGTAATCACACATAAATGTTATATGGTCCTTGCTCACTCTAATGTCCATAAACACATGAAAAAACAATTACTACCTCTGTTCCGAAGTATTTGTCCAGTTTTGACTTTTTTTGGTCAACTATTTTCAACCTTTGACCCAAAATTAAATAAAATATATATTGTATATTAATTAGATAAAATAACATTTTAAAAATATTTGATATAATAAACCTATTAAAACTATTTTTTATATATATATATCTAATATCAATTTTATTTAATTTGAAGTCAAAGTATACCAATTTTGACCAAAAAAGTCAAAAGTGAACAAATATTAAGGGACGGAGGGAGTAAGACACATTGCTTTGTGCTAGATGAGGTTTTTGGAAATTTATATGTTTCGCTCCTACCTAAACTAAACCTAGAAGTAAATTATATGTGAACATAAAAAAGAGAGAGATAGTAGACATGCTGGCACTACAAAGGTAAAACGTGAAGGCACTACAAAGGTAAAACCTACCAAGCTTCAGATTGTGGTGTCTAAAATTGAAAATGTTAAGATAGAAAATGTTGAGTCTGTCACAAATTTTCATGGGCAAGTTAGAGAGTTGGCGAATGAGGGTGAGAGACTTGGTAAACCATTTACAGAAAACATACATGTTGAAAGTTCTACGTTCTCTTCTAGAAAAATATTCAATGGACGTCAAAGAGTTGGAGATGCATGGAGACCTAAGACGTAAGAAACAGCGTGCCATTCTTGTTGAAAAAGAGAATCAGCGTGTTAAAGAGAGTGCTTGAACATGTTGTGCTTTTCCAACTTTCTACAGTGATGAAGATGACTATGATGATGACATTGATCCAAATGAGATGCTTATAATTGCTAAAAAAATTCAAGAGTCTCGACGGATCAAGAAGGAAAACATCTAGGAAAACTGTAGACTCAAACGTGAACTTGTTGAGTCAAAACAAACTGTAGAACAACTCACTAAAGCGTTACAGAGATATAAAGTTAAGATGACAATAGAGGATGACATAGCGAATGACGTAGAAGATGATACAGAGGTTGACACAACAGAATAGTTAGCTATTCTCAAAGGGAAGTGGACAGAATTTCTATAAGTCAACAAGAAAATTGTCACGAAGAATCATCATCATGTTGTCAAGCAAAATAAACTCAAAGAGGATCTTTCAAAATCAAAAAAGAAGATTGAAGAATTAGAAGGGCAACAATCTAATCTCAAGTATTAATTGAATCAAATAAAAAACAATCACAAGTGGATGAGGTATGTTGGAGCAAAAGCTATTGAGCGATAAGGGAATATTTCTAAATTCTATGGAGACAAGACTGGTCTCGGATTTTCAAGTTCTAAAAGCAACAAGACCCACTCGACTTGTTTGTTGATCGCTCAATAGGTCCCACAAAAGAAGAAACTAGAAGTTGTCAAGTTTGATGAAGCATCTTTTGTCAGAGTAGCTGAGGCATCTCATGCAGCATTTGCTGAAACATCTTATGAAATAGCCTACAGAGAGAGGCATACAGGTACGAAACAATATAGTTTGAGAAGATACCAGGATCATCATCGTAAACGTAGAAGGTATTTTTACACTAATGTCTATGCTAATTATGTTTGTTTTTGTTGTGGAAGAAGGGAACACATTCAAAGGAATGCAAGAAATTCAAGGAGCAAAGTTCTAGAAAAAGGAATGTAACAACAAAGATAATTTGGGTACCTAAGAATCACAACAAAATAGGTGCTAATTCTTGTGTGAAGGTTGTTGCTTTTGACCAATGCCTTATCGAGAGAACATGCTTTAGGCTGATCAAGCTTCATCTCGCTTAGCTTTGTTCAACATAGTGGAGTTGTTATGCGCGAACTCCATAAAGGGTAAGTACTACTCTCAACTCCAAACTACGTATGGAATGTTGTGCTAGATTAAAGTTTTGTCCCCATTGCATCTAACAAATGTTTCCAAAACTATGACATGAAACAAGTGAAAGTTGGTTGCGACTTAGGAGGTGGATAAAGTGTTTTAATAGTTTTAAAACCTTTTTTGACTTGTACTTTTTATTTTTGTGTAACGGTGTTTTATTTGAAAAGTAAGTACGTTAAGATAAATGTATAATGATAAGTGCAATAGATTAAACCATAAAATAAGTGCATTGTAATTTTATACTTGTTTGAAAATCCCCTACTCTAATACCTTAAGGTTCCTAATTTAGAATTTGGAATCCATAAAAAACTAGTTTTTGAAAACAAATCCTTGCCAAAAGATTTAAACTAGATCCACAATACCTCAAGCACACGAAGTATCCTATTGTCTCCATAGCCCCTAGCTCGACAGTGCTTCCACGAAAAGCATAAGGATCAAGGATCATCTCTTTTGTATTATTGGATTTTTATGCCGTTTTTAAATATTTAAATTTTATTTTTTAAATCCATTCTAATCCTCAAATAAATTTTATTAAAAATAATTTAAATCAAACATTGGAAACTAAAACAGACAGACAATTTAATTTGGGACAAAAGAGTAACTACCAAACACTTTATACATGCTTCAATAATAATAATATTAATATTAATAATAACAATAACAATAACAATAATAAAAATCATAATCATAATAATAAGAATCCTACTCCTTTAAGTAATAATAATAATAATAATAATAATAATAATAATAAAGACAGTGTAGGCATATATTATCTTCACATGTACCTTGAACTTTGTACTTTCAAAATGTGAAAATATAAAATGAGCATTCCCTACAACAAAATGTGTATTTTCTGTAAGACTAATGAGCCAAAAAAATATGCCAAGGTTAAATGAAGTGAGTATTATCCAGAATAATAATGAAAATGTCACTCAAGGACATACAAAAATGTCATGAATGCAAGATCATTTCCAAAGTTAAATATAATTTGTAGATAAAAGGACAAGAAAAAGAAAATCTCTCGCCACATTACATGAACACTACAATAAAAGAGAAGCATCAAATGCATTCCATTAAAAAAAGGATTCCACTCGTTGAAATCGAAGATGAATGCGCTTCATTGCATCTCAGAAAGGAACCACAACATGAACGAGCCAGCATTTGGCTCCACTTTTTCACGGGGAAAAAATCCTCAAAGCAATCGGGATGATAGACCTGATCAAGTGTGTATCCACAAGGGGGCTTCCTCCAAAGAGAAGGACTTGTCGTTTTGGACCTGAGCTGCTGCTGCTGCGCTAACCGGTGGTGCATGCACAGTTATTGGAAGAACCCACTCACATTTCTCTCTTTCTTCTATCAAAAGTGGATGCTCATACCTGATAAGATGGAGATGATTTTTCAATTTTTTTTTTGAAAATTCTCCTATGTGCATAACATTTTCTTTCGTATGGCGATTTTATTGTTTACCTGGTCCAGTCCACATTCTTGGGACTGGTAAAGAATTCAAATCGAAGAGCCCACTGCACAGAGGCGTAGCGAGTTGAAAAAGACATGGGCCCATCGATAGGAATGGAAAACAGAAAGCTTGTCTGCACCAAATCTGCTACCACTTCATAATGATCACTATGAACCTGTGATAGAGTCACGGTATTAAGCGAAGCTGAAGTTTCCTTAACAACTACAGAATAATTACCACAGCAATTATAATTACTTCTTTCCATAAAGAGAATAATATTTCCTAATTTACTTTTGTCCCATAAGAGTCACATTTTTTACTTGTTTAAGAGTATAGGTATATATAGTGCTCTGGAACTTGGAAGCGTTGTACCTCACTAAAATTAAAACCGTGTACATTCATCAAAATGGACTCTTTTTAAGGGAGGGAGGAAATATCTGCAAAAAAACTACTTGTGGGTGATGCCGGTTTTGTTTAAACAACTCCCATGTCCCTCTATTTTCCTAAAACCACCATGGGCATTTATAATTTGTTGAAATGCCTGCTACGGGGCATTCTGTCCATACTTCCATAAATAAATGTCAAAGGACGTTAATGGCTGCTGTGTATTCCCTATTTTGCCCTAATGTTGTCTACTTCATACAATGAAATTAAATGTACTAACATACCACATTGGATATAATACAACAACCCTGTTGGGACCCACGAGAGTAGGGAGGATGCTCCATGAGACCCCCAACTCAAGTAGAACAGATAATATAAGAGCACAGAGCATACAAAGCACACAACAAAGCATACAAAACATAAAAAGCACACAAGTGTGGAAACCATCGCCTAGTTCAAAGTGCCTACCTAACTACCCTAATCCTAGCTTTCCAAACGCTGCTATCACCAGTAAGGGCAAGAAATCCCAAGTCATGGCTAATCACCCTCCCAATAGTTCTTAGGTCTGCCCCTACCCCTACTCCCACCTTCCAACGTAAGCCCCTCGCTTCTCTGCACTAGGGCATCAAAACTCTGCCCACTCACATGCCCAAACCACCTTAGCCAAGCTTCCAATAGCTTATCTTCCACGGGTGCCACGCAAACCAGTCCTTGGATAACTTCATTCTGAATCCTATCCATCCTCGTCTGTCCACTCATCCAACGTAGCATTCGCATCTCTGCAACATGCAATTAACGAATGTGTGTTTTTCTAACTACTCATCCAACGTAGCATTCGCATCTCCCTGACATTCCATGCATTCAGTCTTGATCCTACTTAGTCCCAATCCTTTGGATTCCAGAAAAAGGCGCCAAAGTTCCAACTTGTCATTTAGTCCCTCTCGAGTGTCGTCGATAAGCACAACATTGTCAACAAAAAGCATGCACCACACGACCTCCCTTTGGACTCCCTGCGTCAGAACATTCATCCCCAAAGCGAACAAGAATGAGATAAGGGCAGACCCCTAGTGTAACCCTACCTCTACGGAGAAAGGCTTTGAGTCAACCCGCCAATCTTTACCTTAGTCCTTGCCTCGCACTACATACCTCTGACAGCACGAATGTATGCTATCGGAACCCCTCTTGACTCAAGGCACCTCCACAAAACCTCCATGGCACCCTGTCATGTGCCTTTTTGAGGTGAATACTGAATAAACCCCATATGAAGCTCCTTCCTCTTAGCAATATACTCTTCCATCAATCTGCCAGGCATAAAACCAAACAGGTTCTCCAAGATGCACATCCCCTCTAACACCCTAAAGTCAATAGCACGCTCCCAAACCTTCATTGTGTGGACAAGCAGTTTGATGTCTCTGTAATTCTCACAACTCTGAATCCCACCCTTACCCTTAAAAGAGGGACCAACACACTCTCCCTCCACTCATCGAGCATCTTATCCGTCCTTAATAACATTAAATAGCTTGGTTATCGAAACCAACCCATTGTGGCCCACACATTTCTAAAACTCCACCCAAATCTCATTTGGCCCCAAGCCCCCCCCCCCCCCACTTCTCATCCTGCGGATGGCCCGGGCTTCCTCCTCCTTACTAAGGCGCCAACAATACCCAAAGTCTTGATCATCAATGCCCTTCACACATCTCACAAGATCCAGGTCTCGGACCTTCCTCTGACGCGCTTTAGATAGCCAGAAAAATCTCTTAACATCGGATATAATAAAGAAACCATTTTTCAAACCTTAATTTTTCAAAACTAAAAAGTCGACCTATTTCCTATTCACAGGGTACTATTTAAAAGTCAACCTTAATAAGAAAAGAAGGGGCACTATTTGTATTCTTAGATTTTAAATACTCTGTTATACTCCCTCCATCCCAATTTACGTTGCTTATTCACTATTCACAGGGTGAAAAGTTAATCATTTCCTTTACCTATTTTTGTTTGTCATTTGATAAAATAATATAGTTATGTAAGCTCTTAATTCATAAAACTTTGGGTATAATTTTTAAATATATAAATTTTATTTTTAATTCCACACCAATTTTCAAAAAAAAAAATTGAATTGAAAATAGTTTTTGTACATTTAAATGTCTTATTTTAATAGTTTTGTACATTTAAATGTGTTATTTTACTATAAAGAATAGTAGTAACAACAAAAACTAACTTAGATATAAAAAGATGATATTATACTCCCAATTCCAGTGTGTCCAATTTAACTTTTGTATAAATACTAGATGAATTTTGATTATCAATTAAATAAATATTGTGATGGATCTCAAGATCCAATCAAGAACAATCAAAATAAGAGGGTAAATCTCATATGCTGTGTATTGAATGATTTTGGATTCCCCTCCCTTCACAGGGAGGGTGTATTTGTACATATTGTGGAGAGACAAATTAGGTATCCGAATCCTAGAAGGAACCGGATCTCAATCCTTAATCTAGCGCCTCAATCTTCAAAGTTCCTATCACAATGCAATCTCCTTAAATCTAGAAGATTCTCATAGGCCAAAGCCCTTCTAAACTTCGGCACATTCTCTCTTTCCTTTTGGGTCTCGCTGTACTTTGCAGCCCTCTGGGCTTGGGCCGATCAGACCCACTTCTTCAACTATGCTCGTGGACCCGATCTCCATAATATAGCATTGTATATTTTTTTAAAAAAATTTTATTTTATGTTACTAAAATACAATGTAATATTTATTTAATTGATAATAAAAAAACATCTAGTATGTGCATGAAAAGTTAGGCCGAACAAACACACTAGGACAAAATGAGTTTAATGTTGTCTTTTGCAATTTCAATTAGTTTCTGATATCACTACTATGCTTTGTAAAAGAAAAACACTTTTGAATGTATAAAGCTATTAAACAGACTAAAAGAAAAAAATATCACAGATTATTAAAAACCTAAGAATAAAAACATTACCCCTTCACTTCTTTTCAAGGGTAGGTTGACTTTTTTTTAACAAATTAAGGTTTAAAAATAAGTTTCTTATTTATATCCGATTTGGTACGTTATTACATTTAATATTAGTGTATACCATAGACAAAAAAAGGGCATATAGGAAATAAACAACAATTAACGACCTTTGACTATTACTAGTAGAAGTCGGGACGGAGTGTCCCTAGCAGGTATTACAACAAATTTTAAATACCCATGGTAGTTTTAGGAAAATAGAGGGACCTGAGAGTTGTTTCAACAAAACTGGTGTCACCCACAAGTAATTTTTTAGAGTATCTGTGACTTTCATTTTCCGTGCCAAACTTTTGTACTACCTTTGCCCCTAAAAAAACTTCATTTTTTGTTTTTCAATGTTTGACCAAAATTATTTTCAATTCAATTTATTAAATATTGGTGTAAATTTAAAAATTGAAATTCAAAAGTTCTATAACACAGGAGGTGTCTTGACGATTTACTACTTTATTGTGAGAAATAATTAAAACAAATAGGAAGATATAGCTTGATATGTGAATAGTAATAGTGAAGCTTGTTTAAGGATGGGAGGGAGCGTGTTTTCTTTATTGTTGGTCAAAGTTTGGCACAAAAAAAAAATAACACCCAGATAATAAGATAATATGGAATGGGAGTAGCAATAAACACTTTGCATGTGATTCTAAAAATCAACATGCAAAGTCATTTCTTGGCTGTAGGCCTAGTAACACACAGATGCAGAGATTGCTAAGAATGATGCTGGCAGTTGTGCAACTCTCACTCACAAAATGTCAAAATTAAAAACATAGAATGAAGAGCGATAAGCATATTCTATATGCTCGCAGCATGTCACAAACAACATTGCTCAGGGAACTATAAAACAGGTATGAAGTTCTAATCAACTTATCAACTAAGTTAAATTCTACAAACTTTCCACAAGCATGGCTGTGACAATACTTACACCAGAGACCAACCATTACATCAGAAGAAAATAAAGCTTAACGGAACAAAGAAAAGGAAATGCAATGCACTAGTTGAAAAGTGTACCTTAGCAATGGAGGGTGCATGTCTTCTTGAGGGATGAATAAAACGTCTGCTTATAGTCTCTGTCATCTCCAGTGTTATAGAGAGCTTAAAAGAATAATCAAATGAATCCTTTTATTACTGGATACAACATTAATAACAAACCACTGCAATCACAACTCATGCCTTGGAGGTCAAGATGTATGCAACTTTATCCCATTAGACCTTTGATGCATTGTTGCATTTACTTCCCAAAACTTCATAGGAAATAAGAAGTGAGGGAAGTTTAATATATCATTTTGATTTAATCACTGTTCATACGAAGCTAAAACCTTGTCATTAATGACTCTTAGCTCCATCGGCAATGAGCACTAAATATGATTGGGATCATATATTTATAACTTCAATTTTTGTGCACAAAAAATGCAAACGTAAGTACAACTAGAAATAAGTAATTAATTATACTCCCCCAATCCTAAACTAAGGTTCCACATTATCATTAAGAGGGTCAAATCATATCTTCTTTACTTGCAAATTTTCATTGATCTTGTGATAAAATAAAATAGTCAAAGTTTGTCTATTAATTTTAAAATTTTATTGTTTAGTTTTTAAATATATAAATTTTTTTTATATCTATACCAATTTTCAAATAAATTACAATGAAAATAATATTGGTCCAACATCGTAAACCAAATGAAAAGCATGTCTTTGGATTGAAAGAGTATACTTTTGCGCCACATTAAGGTGCTGATAGCAAAGGAGTACGTGTATAGGAAATAAATAGATGTAATGGAGTATTTAAAGTTAAACTTAAATAAATACATGTTGGTCAATTAATAGGGGCTATTGATAATGGCACTCCAAGTTTAACTATTGGCACTCCACCTCTTCTGTTTGTTAATTAATATTCCTCATATACCTCAACCTTCCATTGTTCATAGAAAAAACATTACTTCATCATTGAATTGTTTAGTGTTTACTAATTCTAGGCGTTGAATTTTTCACTTTTTTTATCTATTTCCAAAGAAATTCTTCACCTTTTTCTATTTTTTTTGTAAAGAATATATGGTCTAAAATATGTATTCTAACTTCAAAAAAATTGTAAAAAAAAATGTTACTCACTTTTACTTTTTAACATTTGTTGGCAATTATTAATTTTTTGTGAAATCAATATGCGAACTAATTTTGGACGGAGTATGGACGAAATAGAAACGATAATATAAAAGTACTCTCTCCGTCCCGGAAATATCGTTTCAGTTACTATTCTCTTTTCTTGAATCTTGATAACTTTTGTTTATTTGTTTATTTTCGTTGATTATTTAATAAAATAAAAGATTCTTACCACATCTTGTTTTATACTCCCTCCGTTTCTAAAAACCCTTCCTCTTTCATTTTTTTTGTTTTTCATAAAACACTTCCCTTTTCTATTAAAAAACCACTTTTACCCCTACTTTTTCATACCCTACCTATCACATCATACTTTTTCACTAACAACTAAACTATCACATCTTACTTTTACCCATCACATCAAGGGCAAAATTGGAAAGTCAACTACAATTTAACACTTCCTTATTTTTCCCCAAAGTCAAAAGAGGAACCGTTTTGAGAAACGGAGGGAGTAGTACTTTTGATATAGTTTTAAAATTTTAATTTGTGCTTTTTATTTCTATACCAATTTGTAANTTGATAACTTTTTTTTATTTGTTTATTTTCGTTGATTATTTAATAAAATAAAAGATTCTTACCACATCTTGTTTTATACTCCCTCCGTTTCTAAAAACCCTTCCTCTTTCATTTTTTTTGTTTTTCATAAAACACTTCCCTTTTCTATTAAAAAACCACTTTTACCCCTACTTTTTCATACCCTACCTATCACATCATACTTTTTCACTAACAACTAAACTATCACATCTTACTTTTACCCATCACATCAAGGGCAAAATTGGAAAGTCAACTACAATTTAACACTTCCTTATTTTTCCCCAAAGTCAAAAGAGGAACCGTTTTGAGAAACGGAGGGAGTAGTACTTTTGATATAGTTTTAAAATTTTAATTTGTGCTTTTTATTTCTATACCAATTTGTAACTAAAAAATTTTTTGCGAAAAAAAATGTAATTTGAACTTTTTATTATTATAAACATTTGTAAATAAAATATTTTTAAAAAAGATGAAATTTTACATGTTCAAAGCGAGAAAATATTTTTGGGACAGTAATATATTACTACAAAATATTAAATTATGATTAATAAAAAAAATAAAAAAAAGTAGAGTAAAAAAATTAAGAACTCAAAATTTCCATTCAACAAAACTAGCCAAAATTAATTAACTAGAAAAGTAGTAATTGCGAATAATGATCTGAAAGGTTAACAAAAGTTTGTGTATTATAAGCACAATCTCCGTCCCCTAGTGTTTGTTCAATTTTGACTTTTTGTAGTCAAAATTTGTAAACTTTGACCTAAAACTATATAAAATTGATTTTAGATATTGATACAAAAATAATTTTATTGAATTTATCTTGTAAATAATTTTTAAAATATTATTTTATCTAATTAATATACGATATTATTTTAATTTAATTATAAGTCCAATTTTGATCCTGGTTGACTGTAAAAAGTGAAAATTGGACAAATACTTTGGTACAAGAGAGTAATTACTACTCCCTATATTTTATGAGAAGTATTGAGGGATATTTTTGGAAAATAAATATAAATAAATAAATGTGGAGTGCCAATCGTAAAAGTTGGAGTGCAAATATCACTCCCCGTTAATAGGGCTCCTTAAAATGTGGAAACTCTTCTAGCTACAATTCCTAAAATCGTTTTGAGTTGGGAGTTGTTAACATAAAAAGTGTCAGCTCACTACCGTCTCATGGAAAACCTAAGGTATTAACTAAGTTTGATTCTTTTTCAACCACCCGTTAGTCTCTAACATCTGTTTGATTAGGGTTTGATGAAGGACAAAAACAGCTAGTTATTCGATAGCTCAGGGACTATAAATGCGCACATGAAAACTAGAGATATAGCCCAGAACTCAAGCGCAAAAATTGATATATTTCCTACTGTTCTTGGAAACATGAAAAATACCTCAAGGCATCTTCTGGTTCCTTCTTCATGAAAGAAAGTAAAGGTTCCACCAATCTGTTACAAAAGGAGAAAAAAAGGAGGGGGTAATCAATGGCAATGTCAATTAAGCAGCACCGAAAAAAGCATCACACAGTAGAATTACCATATCACTAAAATAGTACGTTGACTCAGAGTTTTTTGGAGAAAATCTTAAAAGAACTTGATCATCAAGTCTGATGTTATAAGATCTTCCTCTAATGAACCCTTCTGCTGCAGAAAATGTTTGCTGTAAATTAGCTGACTTATAAAGGATTAGTATCATTAACCAAACAAATGAGAAAGGAAGCTAATAAAATGAGTACAGAATTAAAAGCATATTTTTACATGCTCCAGAATCGCCAGCCCGAGAAACAGAAGGTATTGTTGATTCATCATCTCGAGAAAATGATTTTGTTTGTTCCTGGCATTGGCTTGGAGAGACTTTATACTTACTTGGAGACAAAACATCTGCTAAATATAAATCATTTGAGCAGAAATTCAGACATTAGAGATTTACTGAATGGTTATATCATGAGAAAACTGAAAAGAAGCCATTCTTTTAGTAATAACAGAATCAATTGTGTAAACAAGCAACCAGTAAGGTGGCTAACCAACACTTGAATCAAATGAAATCTCAGCTACAGATATTTGTGGAAGTTCCACATGAGGAGATATGCTTGAAGTGTGCCCTTCAAGCAATGAAAGATCTTTACGTGAAGATCTTGCTGCAGCAGACTGCAAAGACAATGAGCTTCCAAAAGTTGTGTGTATATTTTCTTTCATGGTACTGTATGAAGAAATAGATGAAACTTCATCCCTCGCGCTTTCAGAATCGTCTTCGATACCATCAAATGTTTCATTAACTCTGGCCTGTGAGAAGAAAAAAGTAGGCAGGTTGTGTTATCCTTCATAGATTTCATTCAGAATTAGCTGATCTAAAGTGATTTCATCAAGTGATTTAAGTCAACTTCAAAATTCCCATTACACAAGAAAAACCCATTTGTAGGACTTAACAGGACAAAGTAATAAAACATCATACGTATTCTTCTAAATTTTATAAATGACTGCTTCATAGAAAATATGTTTATCAAATTTTAGTAATTGTAATTCATTATCAGGTGTATTTATCCTAATCTGACCCATATACTAAGTTTTAAGAGTTCTTAGCAATATAACTAGACAATCAAACAATTTTGACTGGCAGTAGAATGTGTTACCCATTCAGAATCTCCATCCATCTCTTTCCAGTAAACATCCAACATGATTGTTGTAGTAGGAACAATTCCTGAAACAACATTATTTGTGATACCAATTAACAAGGAAATCAAAAAATTTAATATGCATAGATCATAAATATTTGCTAAATAAACAGTAAGTGAAGATTGTAGCATTTGTTGTTTGGAGAATCCACTCAATCAAAAGTTATAACTCTACTCAAATTTCATTCATAGTGTAGCCATCCATGATGTAGGAATTTAATCATTCAGCCCACAACATGTATTGAAAGGCAGCAATCAGACGAGAAATAGAAGACAATATGACAAATACTGCATAATGCATATTAACAGGGGTAGAGAATTACCATCAGTTTCACCTTCCTTGTTTTGCAAGCCATTACCATTCTGAGTCACCCATATTTGCAATGGTATTCGAGTTTCCTGAATGAATCAGAGCATGGTGAAGTTTGATGCCAATTTAGACAATAAAAGGAATATCCCTGAAAAACTGATCTTATCATTGTTTTTAAACTAAACAATTCAATTAGAGGTCACAAGAGTTCATTGAACGTGCTAAACTAGAACTTGTTTGTCAAACAGGGAAGAGGAGCCTTCTTCAAGAACAAGAAATACAAAAGGACAGCAAGAAACACGATTTGTGTATTGCTGGTAACAGCCAGAGGAAACATAACTAGTTCACATTCCAACTTTAATTGGCTTAAAGATATTGACCCATCATCTTGCACTAATTTGGTGTGACATGCTTGGGCAGAAGAAAGTAAGAAACATAAATGAAGAGGATATCCAAGCCATATATTTAGATTTTCTTGATGAATAAGGAGCTAAAGACTAACATATCGCATTTACCCTTGATTTCTAACTTTCTACAAAGAAAAAGGGTAACCAATCCATATATTTGAAATTTTCAACAAATCTCATCAAGAAGGCACAACCAGGCAAGTCCTATTCGGATGATAATGCACATCTTGAGGTATAAACTTGGATCAGCCTGAAGTCCCAAATTCCCAATAGTAGGGATTATAACTAAGAACCATTCGTCAGCAAGCCTGCTATGAATAACAAAGCACACATAATGGATACATTACTGAACTTACTTTTCCCTAAACCACGAGAGAGTTTTAACTAAAAGCTTTAAGAATGAATTACTAAAGGTTGACACTGAGGAGTGAAAGATAGACTCCAGAATCTACACATAACAAAATGGCAACTACATATTCACATTGTTTGAAAAATGCTAGATGAACAACATTAATCGCTCTCCACCACCGACCCAATAGAATCCCAGGGTAGTTTTGGGGAACTGATGTAGTAATACATCAGTACAACCATCTACATGCTTCAAAACAATTGTTATATATAAAAAAAGATAAGAAGCTGAGGACATCATGGATGACAAACATATGACAAAATGGAGAAAATCGGCATGACGGCATAAAAGGTAGCAAAACTTTCTTGGAAGTGAAAAGCCTGCCAACAGAAATATAACTAGTACAACAAAACGATGTACTCCATACTGAAAAAAACAAAAAGAACCAACCAGCTCAGGAAGATCTCTAATTGACTCTTCACGGAAATGTCCATTCTCTACAATTAAATATTGTCCACGCAATGTGATTCTAACATAGTACAAATAACGGATGGTTGCACCTCTATATGATGGTGGTATGATGCCAGGCAGAACACTTCGCACTACGACTGCAAAAATGAAGTACGCAAAATTAACATTCAACTGGAAACTTTTTGAAAGACAGCATTTTGAATTTCAACCATAAAAAGGTGTGCCTTTACACTGTTACAAATCACAATCAATGTTTAAAAACTAGACTGGACAATAAACCGTGAAAGTCACATTTTCAAGGTTCAACGGTCCAACTGTGTGTTATGTTTGCTAGATACTATTTGTGTTACAAACCTGTGTGCAACAAGGGAAGAAGATGAACTATTCCCTATGGTTTCTGGGAAGTAGTCGGAAGAAAAGAACACAGAATGAACTGAGAAAAGGAGCTGGGAAAATAGAAAGTCAATTCTTTATTCAAATATGGATAAATAGGTTTAGATTACCTTCTTTTACTGAAGCATACAATCCTATAGTGATAAGGAAACCGCGACAGTTAATAAAAGAACCATAGCAAATAACTAGTTGCCAAATTGAAGAGTCCTAAGAAATACTGGGGTAACTAATTGTGAACAAACAGAAAAGTAAATAAAATGCTTCCATCACAGTAGTGTCTACTCCTTTGCAGTCTACCAGCGCCGGAGGTGGGTAGTATAGCATTCCAATGAATGCATCAAGAGCCCCTCCTGTAGGCTGAGCTTGTCCTCAAGCTTGAAGGTTGGAAAGCAAATACAGAAATTAGAAAAAATGTCCCAAGTAGCGTCCTCTTCCATGAGGCCACTCCAATGGACAAGTTTGAAATTGCCTCTATTCAGCCATGTTTTCAACATACAGTGAGAGTATAATTCATAGCACCTGTTCAGACCGGGGGAAACCGTGGGAAGTGACAGGTGGTGGCCCAAAGTGTTCCTTAAGGAGACAAGAACACATCTTGCACCTTACCGTCGTCACAAAGCGCCCGGTGAACCAGAGTAGATTTTTGTATTCTTTAAGATAAGAAGAAAAAAATTACCCGAGTAATATAGAATATTGAGAAAACAAGACAAACTAAATTTTAAATTTACATATAATGAAGATGGTATCTGATTTATATGATGAAATAAAAAAAATAATAATAACAACAAAAAACACTGACCCCATGAAATCCCACAAGTAGGATCTAAACATAATCAAAAAGATGTAACTCTGTATAAGATTTATATTTTTTACTTTAGCTTTGTTTGGATAATGATTAGATTTTTTTCATTTCAAAATGATGATGATGCTGATGATGATGATGATGATGATGATGATAATAATAATAATCAATTATAAAGATCAGTTCAGACCAGCTTTCTAACCAAGGTTGTTAAACTCGAGATTTTAGCTAAGATCGTTGGGGGTGAAGAGATCGTAACACGAACCGTAAGATCATAGTAATATTTAAAACTTATGACATGTGTATAAGGAAAATAAAAAAAGTAGGCATACTCCAAAGGAGAATAAAAAAGTAAGCTTACTGAAGCGCTCGCTTAAGGAAAATAAAAAGTAACGGAGAACTTTTATTAATGGAATATAAAAGTACTCCACATTGTAAGCAGTAATATTGTTAAAAGAAAAGGTATACCGATTGCAAAAGGAAGCCGTCCATACTACCTACCCAGTAGGCTTATACAATTATACTATTCCAAAATAAAAAAAGAAAAGCTATCGCACCAGAGATTGGCAAAGAGCCTGCGACTAAGCCTATTTTTCACTGACGACTTTCCCAGATCGAATCGTAGTCACAATCCGGAAATTCTAGGTCTAGCCTCATCGATCCTGAGAATTTCCAATGGTAGCAATGATCCAGATCACAGAGGTGAATAGTACTTGTACAATCGTACAATTGTGTTATCTAGATCGTGATTAACAACCTTGCTTGTAACTGATCAGTTAAAATGAGTTTCTATAACTTTTTTGGTTAGTTCTCATTTGTTTTAGATGTGCAGTTTCTTCGGGATTATCGGGTTTGTTGCCCAAATATTTCCTAGTTCTACTGGTGTGGTCCGATTTTTAAAATGATGTTTACAGCCTAAATAGGAATTTCCATTTACACTATTTCTAATCAAGAAGCATTATGGAAGGTACTAACACAACTTGAATGTAGAGTTGTAGACATAGAAAGTCTAATCTCCTTCTAGCACACTTATTAGTGCCTAAATTAGAGTAGACATAGAAAGTCTAATTCATCACTTGACTCCTAGAGAGAGAAAACGACAGAAGGGGCAATCTGCCAAGATAATCTCGGAGAGCCTGTATCACACAATACAAGAGTAGAAGAATGTGAAAACAAAAAAGACTTACATTTTTTGGTTGCCCCATAGGTAACAATTTTGTTTGATACTAATGCAGGAGTCAAGTAATCCATGAAAACAAACTCACCTGAAGGAAAAAAAAAACATAAATGTCAGTCCAAGAGAGGACTAGCATGATGTGTGTAAGTAGGAGTAGTTGTATAGCAATATGAACATATGCACATGTGCTGCACACACACAATTGTATTATGGTATGAACATATGCTCATGCACACACGTTTAATACATTTTTTCAATATAAGAAGCTTAGGCAATGAATCCCCACGCTAATACATATAGAGATATATAGACAATGGACAAATTCTGAACTTGATGTACTTATCTCTAATAACATGCTAGGTACACAAGAATATTTATTAATTTATGAGAATATCCACAATGTAGAAATGTTCCTATGTATTGTGCGCAAGAGAAAATTCTTGGGGAAACACTCTCGGTCCTAACTGGGAAAACGTTTTCCTTACTCATACCACAGGATTAAATTTAATTGGGGGGGAAGGGGGAAGGGGGGCCGTAGGTAAATGGCATTTTAAACAGCAGTAAGATGTGTCATTTTGACACAGAGCAGCATTTTTAGTTTTTTACGGGTCAAAATGCTGAATGGTGTGTTTGGTAAATCAGCATTTTGAATTAGCATGCTTAGCAGAATGCTTATATGATCAACATTTTGAAAACCTGTTGAATGGTGACTTTGGTAAATCAACATATTGAAAGCATGCATTCTATCAAGTTACCAAACAAAGGCAGATATTTTTTTACAAATTGCTACCTGGAAGTCAAAACCACTATTAATTGATAGAAACTACTATCTACCATCAACTAACTACTAATTGCTCAACGTTGTCAACTAACTACTATTTGCTGCAAAACACATCCTACATGCCAATTGGAATGAAAAAATGAATTAGCTAAAAATATTACTCTAAATTCATAATGGGTGTGCTTTTTTATACATGACATTTTGTATTTAGTCCTTTCTTCCCTAATTATTCAAGTTCATGTTGTCACCACTGACCAAACTATGTACTCCCTTTGTCCCCAAATTAAATTCATCATTTGACTTCAGGGAATATAAAAAAAGTGTTGAAACGTGAAAGGTGTGAGTTGGGAATTCATTTGGATAAGGGAGAAATGTTGTGAGCCACGTATTCTTTTCTTAAAAAGGAAAGAGGAGAAATCTGAACTTTATTTAAGGATGGATGAGAAAGGAAAGTGTAAATTTATGTAAGGGACGGAGGGAGTAATTTAGAATCTTTCTTGATTCTTCACCCACAGATTTGTTTCTCATTTTTTCATTCCATGTACCAAACAACGCATAAAAGATTCTATTGTAAAGGACCCTCAACTTGTATGCTTCTTTTCCTTCTTATCTAGCCCTAAAAGCTCTTTAGTTTTTGGTGGAGAGCTTCTAACTTTATAGGGGAGTGGCCCCGAACAAAAAACAAAATGCACTAAAAGTTTAACAATTTGGGCATGCTAGATAATGAGGAATTGAAAAGCTAAGTTACACTATAAGAATTAATTTGAGAGCATTTAGACAACGTACAAAAGCTGTAAAATGTAAGATACAAAAACATCATTAGTGAGAACTCCGACGTTTTCTTTTTTCTCCAATCGTTGTTTGCTTTTAAGCATTTCATATGAAGTACACACATTTAAAACTCCAAAGTCCATTTTTCTAACTACAAAATTTCTTTCTAATATTATGCCATACCTTTTATATTCAAATAAACAATTCCTTTTGTATCTAAATTATGTTTCAATCTCCACTTTTTCATACATTTTAAGAAAGGTTATGACTCTTGTTTGAATCCACGAGATACAAATTTTCAATCCTATCATTTCCTAATTATCATGGAATTACCCCCTCCACTTCTGAGTAGGGGTAAGATCTGCGTACACACACCCTCCCAGAATCTACTTTTGTAGGATTCTACTGGGTTGTTGTTGTATCATTTCCTAAATACAATCTTAAGTTTAACAACAATGAATATGTGGCAACATTCGCACTCAAATCACCAAATCAAATATTATGGCCATACGTACTCATCTTTCAATTTTTGGCAAGAAATGTATTTCAATTGATATATCACAATGATCACAACTGAAATCCTCAATAGTCAGCACATTATATGCTAGTAAACGTTGTTAATTAATATGTGAGGAAAAACCTCTAATAATTAACTAATAGAGGATGTGTGCGCCCTTATACTTGTTAGGACCAGGTGTTGAGCCATAAGATTAAACAATCCTAAGCATAGGTTAAGCAATCTTGATTGTATTATTCGTAGCTAGGATAAAAAAATCTCAATTCATCTTGGATCATCGAATTAGATAGATTGCATATCGTCACATTGAATCCCTAGTCAAACTGCCATACCTCTTCATGATTCTTCTATGGATTTGTTGACTTAAAGCATTTTTCATCGGTAATTCATCTTGAGATTGTTCTTTGAAGCTGGCTGACTACGAGAGTAGTGCTTGGCAGACTTGTAAAGATTCATCTTCTCTGCCTATTGTATTTTCCATCAATCGCTCTTCCATTTCTTCTCAGTCAGAGTATTGTTTTCATTCATTATCAACTATCTGGTTGTATACCACCATATGTAGTGGTCGACTCGCAACTCTATACTCATGAGGATGTTATATGGATGAAGTATGGCTGAATTTTAAACTTAAGTTGTTATATGACTGCGTTTAAACTTAAGTTCTTATACGACTCTGAAACTTATTTAAGTTTAAACTTCACATACTCCGCATTAGTTATGACTAGTTAGTACTCAATTCCATCATTTGCTAACTAGGATCAAGTTTAACAATCTTAGATATGTAGCACTTAAGCAACATCCGAGCACAAATGACTATAACAGATAATAAGCTCACAAATATTCATCTTTCTATCTTTTGCATGACAATATGACAAATATTTCAATTGATATATCAGAATGATCAGAACTGAAATTCTCAGCACATTATATGGCAGTCAAGGTTTATGTGGACTGTGACTGAAGAGTGGGTTCAGGCAGCATAGGTTCTTACCAGAGATATTCCATGGGAATTGTGAGGTGGGTTCTTAGGTCCTGGACTCCAAGGTCAGACATAGACATTGTCAACATGACGGAAAACTAATTATTGTTAGAGTTGTTAAACTTCTGTAGTGTTTACAGTTGGACAAACTCTACTCTACGCTTATCTGGCAGGACTTGTTTCCTAGATATTACTTGGATTTGGGCACTATTCCTCGATCAAAAATGAAAATGCATATGGAAAATGCCAAAGTATGATTAGTAGCCTCCAAGGTCAAGCATGATAATCCATCAAGAAATCTTGATATTGCCGAACTGAAAAATCAAGGCAAAACTGAAGAATAAGTACAAAATCTCAGATACAATGAAGAAGAAAGATAAACAAACCCCTGCGCTGCTTAGAATCCAGAGAAGGTTTGGCAGTGGAGAACCACTGAGTATCCAATTTCTCGATCCCTTTGATTTCAAAACCTAGCCTCTCGATCAGCAGTGAGCACGAAGAAGTGGGGTTGGTGATTTCGACCGTAATGGTCACCGGATCGCCGGGTCTGTACACTTCCCTGTCCACTTCCAGCTTCAGCCGCGGCAGTGGCAGATCGGCGGCGTTTCCTTTGCTTCTTCCTCCGCGGCCACCTCCTCCAAGACCTGCAGTGATGCCGAAGAACGAGAAACGGCGGGGAGGTTTATCCGGCGGGGGCATTGAGGGGTTTATTTAGACGAAACGTAATAAGAATTATGCGTAAGGATTTAGATGCATTTGAAAATTAATCTCAAGAGTTAGGAGATATGAAATCGATGAGCTATCTTCGCCTCTTTTTTCTTCCTCTGAAACGGGGTGGGTGCCGGGGAATCCAAGATACCGCTAAAATCAGAGTTTCAAGATTAGATCTCTTGACTAACATTGTTTACTCTCCAAAACATACCCCTTATCCCAAAATCCCAAAAGAGTATAATGAGTTACTAACACTACTATCACACATGTGCGTTGCACGGCTCGTATTTATATTATTAAATTATATTTAGATCATTATTGAAGAATAAAAATTAATATATAATAGAATATAAAGTTCAGTATTTTAAATGATTGAATATAAAATATTTATCTCTATCACAGTGGAATATGCAAGACTAATATTAAAAAAATTACATTTTTTTACAATCTCATAATAAATGTGAATGTTATTTTTTATTTATTGAACATCTTTTGAATGAGTTTAAATTTAAAATGGCTGTGATATTGCCCATTATTAAATACTATTATTTTTGGGGTAATTTACTTAAATAGGACTAAAACATAATGACTTTCCCAATATAGGACCATATGTTTTTATTTCCCAATGTAGGACCTTTGGTCATTATCAAGTAGTCATTATTCAACTAAATGTCCATCATTACTGGACATTATTCCTTCCACTAGGTCATTATTAAGTCATATTAAGAGAATAAAAAGTTTAAGTCCTACATTTGGAAAGTCATTATATTTTAGTCCTATTTAGTGCAAATTTCACTAACCATTATCCATATACCAATTTCGTCTCCACTCACTTAATTATTTACCTGTCAATTTTTTCTTAACATATTTTCATTAATTATTTTGTATAATACTCCATAATATGAAAGAAATTATTCAAGTATGAGTAAAATTTAGGGTTAAGGACCAAAATAAGAGTAAAACAATGATTAAACTTTAAAATAGGAGTTGAAAGATAAAATCCAAAAAATAGGAGTTATCATATTCTGCCCTGCGTGTGTTGCCGCCTGTTGTTGTTGCCAACTGCCTCGATTTGTTTAAGCTATGGGTCATGTATAATTAATTAGGTAGGCCAAATTTTGGTCATTAAAATTTCTTTGTTGCCGCCCGTTGCTGTTTGTTGTTTCTGGATTGGGTTTCGGCAATTATTAGTTGATTAGGTTTTGGTTTACTTTGTGCTCCAAAAAAGAAGGTTTTCATGTTCAAATTGAGCCATTTTTTATGATGTTTTGATGCCAAACCGAATATAATGCCAAATAAGTCTATAATGACAAACATGACACTACATCATTTCATCCATGACAATATCTAATGCTAAAGAAATGCATAATGGCAAACATATCACTGCTCGACTTTTTGGTGACAAAATTCAAAGAAAATAAAAATTAATCAAAGATTGAGAGAGAACTTACTCACTTTTGAAATCATGCTTTGAGAGAAGGAGATGGAGTTGGAAAGGCTAGGCATCGATGCAACGATGAATCTAAGAGATGTGGGGGGCATGGCGGCGGCGATTGAGTGGCGGTGGCGGCAAGGGTGATTATAATCGATTGACGGTGGGAGGTGGAAGGGAGATCTGAGATGGATGGGGTGCATGGCAGCGGAGGAGGTGATGGCGTAGTGATTCGACGGTGGTAGGCTAAACATGAACACCCCAAGTGGTAGTGACGATGGCACAACGTTCGACGGGGGAAGCGCTGGTGGGAAGCGGACTCCTATGGGTGATGGTGACCTAATGACAAAATGAAAATAAACGGCCCGTGAATACTTCTATTATTTAAGTAATAAAAAAAATTATTTACTCCTACTTAGAGGAGTTTATGTTTGAACTCCTACTTTGAGGATATAACACATGTTTTACTCCTATTTAGGGGGTTTTCTATTATTTTTGTCCTTATAGAATAATCATTATTCAAGGCTATTTGAACTCTTACAATTTATAGAAAAGTGTTTTTTAATTTGTAAAATTTGCACTAAATAGGACTAAAACATAATGAACATAATTATTTACTCCTACTTAGAGGAGTTTATGTTTGAATTCCTACTTTGAGGATATAACACATGTTTTACTCCTATTTAGGGGGTTTTCTTTTATTTTTGTCCTTATAGAATAATCATTATTCAAGGCTATTTGAACTCTTACCATTAATAGATAAGTGTTTTTTAATTTGTAAAATTTGCACTAAATAGGACTAAAACATAATGAGTTTCCTAATGTAAGACTTAAATTTTTTTATTCCCTAAATAGGACTTAATAATGACCTAGTGAGGGGGATAATGTTCAGTAATGATGGACATTTACTTGAATAATGACTACTTCATAATGACCAAAGGTCCTACATTGGGAAAATAAAAACATATGGTCCTATATTAGGAAAGACATTATGTTTTAGTCATATTTAGGTAAATTTCTCTTTTTATTTTTCATTTTAATTTATTTCATCAATTTATTTATCTCAATTTAAAAATATGTACTAAAATATACTCGTACTATGTTGAATATTTATTTCTTGCCATTTTTAGATGAGTGTTTTTTTACTAAAATATTAATTTTACCCGTTGGTTTATTAACATTTATATTAAAATTAACTATGTTGAATATTTATTTCTTAATATTTTCCAAAAATGAAGCGCTATTGCTATTTATAAAAATATATACCATATAATACTCTGTAGAATATTTGTTTCTTGCCATTTTAGATGAGTGTTTTGTACTAAAAATTTTATTTAATCAGTTGATTTATATCCTTTTATAAATATGTACTAAAATATTTATTTATTTATTAAAGTTCACATGTAACAAAGTTTTTCTAAAATAAATTTAGACCACCCACTGCAATTAAATAATGATGGTGCTAATCTCCATATATAATAAAAATCCATATATAACAAATTTTCTTAAGATAAATCTAGACCTCTCCATCTATAATAAAAGGAATAATGGAAAATAAAAATATGAATAATATTATGCATTTCCCTCCTAGAACCTTTGACCGTGATTAATAAAATTATTATATTTATTAATTTATTTATTAAAATTCATATGTAACAATTTTTCCTAAAATAAATCTAACCATCCTAAAAACTTTGACCATGACTAATAAGAATATTTATATTTTTTTATTAAAGCCCATATATAATAAACTTTCCTAAAATAAATCTAGACAACGTCTATAAATTTTGACCGTGATTAATAATAATATTTATATTTATTTATTATTTAAATTTTAAATTTCACATATAACAAATTTTCCTAAAATAAATCTAGACCTCTCCATATAAAATAAAAAGTTCTAACACGTATTTATTAAAGTCCATATATAAAAACATTTCTTAAAATAAATATTGACCACCCCTAGAAACTTTGAAAATGATAAATAAAAAATATTTATATTTATTTATTAAAGCCCATATATAACAAATTTTTCTAAAATAAATCTAGACTACCCAAGAAAAATTGACCGTGATTAATAATAATATTTATGTTTATTTATTTATTAAATTCCATATAAAAAAAATTTCCTAAAATATATCTAAAACTTTCCATATATAATAAAAAGTCAACACGTCCATGTGCGGGAAAACTGGTCAAAAAATTCCTCTACTTTTAAGTATTCAATTGGGATTGTGAAAGATTTAGATAGATTGTTTAAAGTCTATGGATTATGCAGAATCTATGGATTATTTTAAGTCTATGCAGAGTTTGATAGATTTTGATGTATTTTATCAACAGATTTTAAAAGATTATGTTTGATTGCATATAATCCATAGATTTTGGATACATAAATATGAATAATTTTATAAATATATACATTGTTATAACATGAACTATTGTAATTAGCAATTAAAAAACTTTGTTTATGAAATCGACAAAAAAACTTCAAAATAATCCAATAAAATAAAAATAACTGATTTTTAAAAAAAACTATTATTGCCGTAATATATTTATAAAAATAAAATAAGCAATAAATTTGTTTTTTGCTTATTAGAATAAGCAAAAAATAGTAATAAAAAATAGCAATAAATTTTCATAAATTTATTAAAATAAAATAAGCAAAAAATAGTAATCAAAACTAGTTCATAATCAACGTTCCATTATTTTTGTCAAATAAAGTACTTTAAAGTAGGGGTAAAATCTTGTGTTGCCTTTTATTTTAGAAGGCACGCCAAATCCCCGCTTAACCATCATTTGTGGTGTTATATTGTTTAATGCCTTCAAAACTTTGTTAAAGTTTTGACTAGTTGCGAAATGTGAACGACCAAATCTTTGACGAACATTACAATACCAATTATTGTGACCCACAATGAGTACAAATGTTACTATCATTTCTTCAACACAAATATATCTCGTGTCTTCTAAAGGTGTACTTTCTCTGACAATGGTACATAGCTTAAGAAACACATCATGATACATTCTATACAGTTCTCGAAAACTTTGTGGATCTTCTTTCAATACTCCATGTATATAATGATATCCTTTTGTAGTTACGGAGCGGCGTTTGAGGGAACCTTCCACACGTTGAGGCATGTCAATTAGAGCTTCTCTTAAAACAATCATTATTGCTTGAATGACCAATAATAAGTACTTAATAGTTTCATAGAATTCCTCTTCAATTCCTTCTTCATCTATTTCTTCTCTTCCCATCACTTCTTCTTCCATTTATCTATATGACCAAGCACATATAAAGTAAAACTAACCAATTCTTTACACATATGCATACCAAAATAAATAATTAGCAGATAAGTAGACATATGCAGAGTAATAAATCTTCTATCCGACATTGTGTTCAATACATACATACAAACAAATATGTATATGGGACTACAAAAATGTTCTGCAAACATGTGTTCTACAAATATGTATATGAGACTAAAAAAAATATTCTGCAAATATGTATATGGGTCTAAAAAAATGTTCTGCAAATATGTATAAGGGACTAAAAAAATTCAAAACATTTTGGTTTTTTAGAAGAATACTTGTAAAAAAAAGTAAATTCAAAACATTTTGGTGCCTCTGTAAACAAAGACACCAACAATGTTCTATCATGGATTTATGATTGCTTTCTAGCTGCCATGTTAGGTTAAAATGTGAGTCTTGGAAGACTTTTTGAACCTGAACTTGTGTTAAGCTGAACATTATTATTTTCAAATATGCCAAAATTCAAGAATACACGGACTAAAAAAACTGATAATCACTTCAATAGCATGAGTTTGAGCAAGAACAATATAGAAAAACCTAGAAAAAAATAAATATGGAAAATCAATTTATCTTAGCCAAGTTTGAAGAATAGTGAATTAATGCTTCAAACTGGACAGATTTGTATGGCGGAGCTGCAAATCAAAAGCCCTAAGGAGATGAATACGAGATTAAAGGAGATAAATAATGATTTCTATTACCTTGTTAAAATAACCTATTGCCGGCTGCGGTAATCCACGACCTCGGAATCGGTGACAGATCTGGAGTGCTGAACGAGGGAGCGCCCGCCGGGGAAGGAGATCGAGAAGATGACTCGGGGAAGAAGAAGAAGATCTTCGAAGAAGGAGATGAAGGCATTAAACGGACTCTTGGATTCTTGAAAATACCTGCGTTTTTGGTTGGATTTCAAAGCAATTTTTTTATTTATACTTCAAGTCAAAAATCCATTAGAATCCATTTATTTTAACAATCCTTAAAAATCTATTAACTTTTCAATATCATTAGATTTAGAAAGATTTTTTAAAATCTCAATTGAATACCTCCAAAATTTAATTGATTTTCCAAAATCCAAATTGAATACCCATTGACTTTTAAAATCCAAAAAAATCTTACAGAGTCTTGATTGAATACACTCCCTAAGTATAAATTATTTTCCATTTCTTAATGTTAGGTTACGTTCCATTCTTCCAATTAAATATTACTCCGTAATTGATAAGTATGAAACACACACAATTTCATTCGTGCATTAAATACTATTTACAAATACACCTTATACGCCATCTCCAACGATGCTCTTTAAATGGAAAGTATGAACATAATTTTGGAGAGTGCATTAAATACTCTTGGGCAGGAAAACTAAAAGTTGACTTTCAATTCTTTTTAAATAAAGTATGGATATGGATATGGATGTTTCAAAAAATTACTACTAGGATTTTAAAGAATCATTTCAAATCCCGAAGTATTCAATTAATATTTTAAAGAATCATTTAAAATCTTGAAGTATTCAATTAGGATTTTGAAATATTAATCAAAATCTAATACGGAGTAGTATTGGATAATCCATGGATTTCTAAAAAGTTTCATCAAATAAGGATTGTGAAGGATTCTAGAGTCCTTTTTATAAATAAAATACTATTAACAAATCCGACTAGATATGTAGAGATTTTGATGGAGATAAAGCTTCTGTTCATCTTCCGTATCTGGGTCTTCTCGGCGGTGACGGAACCTGGAGCCCCACGACGGCAGAGATCCTTCACTGCTTTATTTCAGATCGGAGCACTACCAGCAATTTTATTCCTCATTTTCTTATTATATCTTCAACAATGAGCATAGATTGAAGTCCAACAGACCGGACGGCCAAAGAGGAACACACGACGACCTCAACGTTACGAGGATTACGTTTAATAATTTTTATGTTTACTTTATATTTGTACTTTAGTATTTTTTTAGGTGGACGAATTATAAGTCCCTTCAAGGGTTTTCTTTTCGGTTCTTTCCCTTGACGCTTTTCTTGAACCGACAGGATTAGGATTAGGGTTTCTCTACCATTATATAAAGGGAACACCCCTTGCTTTGTTACCCAGGCAATAATACAAAGATTTAGTTTAGTAGAACTCCTTCTCTCTCTTTCTTCTTGCACGGACGAAACTCCCCAGAAGCAACCCACGTTGCTGTCTAGGGTTTCTCGTTCCTTGTTCTCCAAGGGTCCTTATCATCTGGTGCTTTCATTGCCGTTCTCATGTCTATGCCAACACCTGAGACGCCGGCCCAAGGTGCCATCACCATGGACGATCTGCTACAAGCCATCAACAACCTCAGCGCAGAACTCCAGACGACGAAAGGCCAAGTAGCGGCTTTAGCCGCAACAGCTCCGCATGGCGAGCCTCGCTGGAACCGACCTCCCGGCACGGGGTGGCGACCACCACCAAACCGCCCTCCTAACGGTGGGCACAACACCGAGGCTATTCCACGCATGCGCGTGGAGGCACCACGCTTCAACGGGGACGATCCGGCCGGTTGGATCTTCCGGATTCAAACTTATTTCGATTATTTTCTCACGCCCGAGGGTGAACGATTACAACTGGTTGCTATGCTCATTGATTACCCAGCCTCGGATTGGTTTCGTTACTACCAAACCAATAATTGTGGCACGAGTTGGGAAGCGTTTCTGATTGCCGTACGGCAACGCTTTGACCCGGATTATTATGAGAATTACATTGGATCACTTTCTAAATTGCATCAGACCACTTCGGTCCTGGCCTACCAATCCGCTTTTGAGACCATCCTCAACAAGATCGCCGGTGTGCCGGAACCAACGCTAATTGCCATGTACGTTTTGGGGTTACGTCAACCAGTACAACGAGAAGTTAATTTGCGTAATCCCCAAACTCTTCAAGAGGCTTTTGGACTGGCCAGAGAATTGTCAGCAACTCACCAGGATTCTTCTGCCTTCCGCCGACCATGGCCTACCCGTCAGCCGGGCCTGGGGTCCTCGGGAGTCACGCAAGTCAGCCCACCCACGACCACCACATGGACGCAGGTTACCACACCTGCCCCAGCACAGCCGCTGCCTATCATCAAGGTCACACAAGCACAGAAGAATGAACGGAGCAAAAAAGGGTTGTGTTGGTACTGTGAGGAAAAGTGGACACCCGGTCACAATTGTAAGAGTCGTTTCCTCGCTTACATGGGGCCTGATGACGACGACCCTTCCAATGAGGTCGAATTAGACAGTCCTCCGGAGGTCGACGATGCGGTCATCTTAGTCGACGTTTCCAGTCTGCATTCCTTGGCCGGTAGTCCGAGCCCACGGGCTCTCAAGCTGGTCGGATCCGTCAATAACCAGGAAGTGAATGTCCTTTTGGACTCGGGTAGCACGCACAACTTTGTCCATCCGGCGGTGGCAGAGCGCTTGGCCTTGGTACTTCATCCAGTTCCCCCGTTTCGCGTCTATGTAGGAAACGGGGACTCGCTGCGTTGCGCATACTCCTGCCCACGCACGCCGCTGTTGTTACAAGGTACTCTTTTTGAAGTTGACTTATTTCTTTTGGAAATCCATGGGCCCGATGTTGTCCTCGGTGTTCAGTGGCTTCAAACATTGGGGAAGGTATGCCATGATTATGCAAATATGACCATGGATTTTTGTTGGAACGGGTCGCAAATCACACTCCGGGGCAATGCGACATCACCGCGTCCTATCTCGTTTGGGCAGCTGTGCTCCTTGGCCGCCCATATACCCTTGCAATTTTTTGAATTAGTAGCCATGGAGAGCCCCCACCAGTCTTCAACGACAGATGCAATTGTGTTTCCCCCCGACATCCCAGCCCTGGTACATACGACCTTGGAGGAGCATAGGGCTGTTTTTCAGCTTCCACAGAATCTGCCACCAGCCAGGACATGGGATCACCGCATCCATTTGGAGCCCGCAGCCAAACCGGTCAATGTTCGACCCTACCGTTACCCCTACTTCCAGAAAACGGAGATCGAACGACAAGTCCGTGACATGCTCGAACACGGCTTGATTCGCCCCAGTCGTAGTCCCTTCTCCTCTCCAGTTTTACTTGTTCGAAAGAAAGATGGGTCGTACCGTTTTTGCGTGGATTATCGCGCCCTCAATGCCGTTACCATCCCAGATCATTTTCCTATTCCCACTACCGATGAGCTTTTCGACGAGTTGGGGCACGCACGGGTCTTCACCAAACTGGATTTACGGTCGGGCTATCATCAAATCCGAATGCATGACGCGGATATCTTTAAAACGGCTTTCCGAACGCATGAGGGACACTATGAGTTTCTCGTCATGCCCTTCGGTCTTACAAACGCCCCGTCGACATTCCAAGCGGCTATGAATGACTTGTTTCGGGAATATCTACGGCACTTTGTCATCGTCTTTTTCGACGATATTTTAATTTACAGCCCCACGCTTGACAGCCATGCCGAACACCTGCGAGTGGTTCTCCAAACATTGCAGAATAATTCCTTCTTTGTCAAGCTATCGAAGTGTTCCTTTTGCCAAACTACAATTGAATATCTGGGACATGTGGTCACGGCTGGAAATTTGCAACCCGATCCGTCCAAAATTGAAGCCATGATGGCATGGCCGCGGCCCACCTCAGTCACGCAGCTTCGTGGATTTTTAGGCCTCACTGGTTACTATCGGAGGTTTGTCTCGGGGTATGCCATGCTCGCTGCACCTCTCACAGATCTCTTGAAGAAGGATAGCTTCCAATGGAATAATGCGGCAGAATCTAGCTTCACCCAATTAAAACAAGCAATGGTCACGGCACCTGTCCTCCAGCTCCCGGATTTTGGCCAAACCTTCTACATCGAGACTGATGCTTCGGATGTAGGAATTGGAGCCGTACTCCTCCAACGCGGACACCCCCTGGCATTTTTCAGTAAAAAACTCGGTCCGCGCCGTCGCGCTGCATCAACATACCACAAGGAGTTATACGCCATCGTAGAATCAGTGCAAAAATGGCGTCAGTACCTCCTTGGCTGAGAATTCGATCAACGCAGCTTAAAAGATCTCCTTGGTCAGGTGATTCAAACTCCAGAACAGCAACTCTACATACGGAAATTAATGGGGTTCAAGTTCCGAATAGAATACAAACCCGGGGCTTCCAACCGAGTCGCTGACGCCCTCTCACGCCGTGAATCATCCGATCCTCCCCTTACCAATGACTTGGCCAAACTCTTTATGGCCTACGCCCAGCCGCTACCACTGTTATTGGAGGATCTACGCCGAGATAATGACCAATGCACTGATTGCAGGTCCCTGCGTTCGGCCATACAGCAAGGAACCGCAACCCCGCACATCACGCTCCATAACGGGCTGTTGTATTATAAACACCGCCTCTACATCAGCTGCGAGTCACCACTACGCCAAACACTACTCCATGAGTTTCATAGTACCCCCCTGGCGGGTCACCAAGGGGTAGACTGCACCTTCAAACGGCTTGCAGAGGTCTTCTACTGGCGGGGCATGCGTCGTGATGTTCGGCAGTATATAGCGGCTTGTGTACCATGCCAAACGACCAAGTACTCAACACAAAAGCCGGGCGGCCTGCTACAACCGCTTCCTATTCCCGAGCGCGTGTGGGACTCCGCATCAATGGATTTCATCACAGGGTTACCAGGGTCGCGTGGGTTCACGGTCATTATGGTCGTAGTAGACCGTCTCTCTAAATATGCTCATTTTGGTCCGCTCCCCACTGGCTTTGATGCACAGAAAGCAGCACACGTTTTCACCGACATTGTGGTGAAACATCATGGGTTTCCCGTAACAATTATCTCTGACCAGGACGCCATATTTATGAGTACATTTTGGCGGGAGTTGATGAAATGTAGTGGCACCGCGCTCAAATTTAGCACTGCATACCATCCGCAAACCGATGGCCAGACGGAGGTCATGAACCGTGGTCTCGAACAATATCTCCGGGCTTTTACTTTCGAGCGACCACATCGATGGGCTACTCTCCTTCCTTGGGCAGAATTAGCCCTTAACTGCAGCCACCATGCCGGCCTCAACATGTCCCCCTACCAAGCTTTGTACGGTCGGCAACCTCCGCACCTATTCCCAACCTTGTCCACACATGCTCGCACGGCCACTGTCGTTGAAATGTTGCAGGAGCGGGCAGAAGTTCTGGAGGATATTCGCACAAATCTCACAAAAATGCAACAACAAATGCGCGAAAGGGCCAATTCACACCGTCGGGACGTCACTTTTCAGGTGGGCGACCAAGTCCTTCTCAAGATACAACAGTATCGCCAGCACTCTCTCGCCCGTCCACGTTCATCCAAACTTGCTCGGCGTTATTATGGGCCATTTGAGGTGATCGAGCGCATTGGTCCAGTAGCATATCGCCTTCGCCTCCCCGACGGCTGCCGCATCCATGATGTCTTCCACGTCTCTCTATTACGGCCATTTGTCTCCGGCCACCAGCAGCTGCCTAGTCCTTCCCTACCGGCTGATCTGTTGCGTGGACGCGAGGTGGCAGTACCTCTTTCTGTTGGCATGCGCCGTACAGTGCTTGACAACGGCAAACTACAAGAACAATGCCTCGTTCGTTGGTCCGATGATGGCGGTGCACTGACCACATGGGAGCCCATCGAACACTTACGCACACATTTTCCAGATCTCGACCTTGAGGACAAGGCCGTTCTCAACCCCGGGGGAGTTGATACGAGCCTAACGTTGCACGAGGAGTTATCGGATACGGGCCATGATGCTATTCCTACAACACGTGAAGACCATGCAGATTGTGAAGAGGAACGTGAAGAAGTCCAACAGACCGGACGGCCGAAGAGGAACACACGACGACCTCAACGTTACGAGGATTACGTTTAATAATTTTTATGTTTACTTTATATTTGTACTTTAGTATTTTTTTAGGTGGACGAATTATAAGTCCCTTCAAGGGTTTTCTTTTCGGTTCTTTCCCTTGACGCTTTTCTTGAACCGACAGGATTAGGATTAGGGTTTCTCTACCAATATATATAGGGAACACCCCTTGCTTTGTTACCCAGGCAATAATACAAAGATTTAGTTTAGTACTACCTCCGTCCCTAAATATTCACAACATTTGCTTTTTCAGCAGTGTCGGGAACTTTTGTTTATTTCGACGTTTTCATTGATTATTTGATAAAATAAAATATTCTTGACACCTCTCATTTCGAAGAACTTTTCATGTAGTTTTTTTATATGTAAATTTTATTTTTTATTTCTTTACCAATATGTAAATAAAATGAATTGAAAAAACTTGATATTTTACTTCGGGAATACAAATGTGGCAAATAATTTGGGACGGAGGGAGTAGAACTCCTTCTCTCTCTTTCTTCTTGCACGGACGGAACTCCCCAGAAGCAACCCTTGTTGCTGTCTAGGGTTTCTCGTTCCTTGTTCTCCAAGGGTCCTTATCACCTCTTCATTTTTTTTGAAATGAAATAGTTTCTTCTTCCTCTGACGCGGTGGGAGTGGGGGATCGGGAGTAGATCTGGTAGATTCAGTGTCAGATCTTGAAACGGGGCTTCCGTAAAATGCACGCGCAGAACCAATGTCAAATATCCAAGCTCCAACAATGGTGGTCGTAGAACGGAAATTAGGCTCCTCCTCTGGGTTGCCATACGAAAGAGTTTTTCCTCTCCATTTTCTTGATGGTGGTCCCTGGTCATGTTGGACTTTAACCCAAATCTAAAACATAAATTATTCAGTTTTACCTTTTTCATCTTCTAGATTTAGTTGTTGGATGTGATTGTATTATTTTCAGGGTTAACTCACAACTGGGGATTTGTATTTAGATGAAATCTTATCTTCATTGTTTTCTCTAGACAAGGATGATTGGGGGACATTTTAGGAAAGTCAAAGCATAATTTACACTCTCTTAAAAATGGGCTCAGGTCAAACCGGGAAGGTCGATTTAGGACGGAGGGAGTATAAATAGTGCTAAATATGCAGTAATAATTATTATTAGTATAAATAGAGTATTACCACTACTAATTATTTTTAATATAAATAATGATGTTAATTAGGAAACATTACCCAAAATAATCCCAACTTTACCCAGTCTTTCAAAAATAATCTCACATTTCACTGTGATGCATAATAATCCCAACTTTACTGAAATTTGCCAGTTTTGGGTCGCCGTTATGTTTCTAACGGAGGGTTAACGGAAATGCCCGTTTTAGGCAACAAAATGAAAGTTGGGATTATTTTTGATGAATTTTTATTTTTTAATTTTTTTGAAATTTCTATTTAAATTTTTTGAATTACTTTCAACCTCCATTTCTTTTTCTTTTTTAAAGATTATTCTTACCTTAGAAAAAAATAGATATAAAAAATAATGAAAATGAGAAAAATAACTAAAACCTTACAAAATTAATCAAATAAATAATGTAATCAATAGAAATTAAACAGAAACTGGTAAGAAATAAAATAAATATATACGGAGTGGTAGGTTTTAACATTTTACACACTATACGGAGTCTGAATGTACTACTTATTTTTTAAAAGCACAAGTCGTCCAGTAAAGTTGGAATTATTGTAGATTATTTTTTCTAAAAAAAAAAGTGATATGTTAATACTTTGTATAATGCACAAAATATGAAAATCCACCCGTATATTTTTATTTTACTTTTACCAATTTCAAGTTAGTTTCCATTGATTACCTTATTTATTTTATTATTTTTGTACTTCGTATCATTTTAGTTACATTTCTCATTTTTTCATTTTTTATATCTATTTTTTATATTTTTTAAACTAAGACTAATCTTTAGAAAAGGAAAAAGAAATGATGATGGAGGCAGAAAGTATTTTAAAAAAATTAAATGAAAAATTTAAAAAAAAAATAAAAAAAATTAAAATTCATCAAAAATAATCCAAACTTTCATTTTGTTGCCTAAAACGGGCATTTCTTGTTAACCCTCCGTTAGAAACTTAACGGCGACCCAAAACTGGCAAATTTTAGTAAAGTTGAGATTATTATGCATCACAGTGAAATGTGGGATTATTTTTGAAAGACCGGGTAAAGTTGGGATTATTTTGGGTAATTTTTCCTATTAATTATTATTATTGTTAAAAGAATTTGTAGTTGTACTACTCTTTTTTTTGAAAAAACACTAATTATTATTAATTTTAATTACTCCCTCCGTTCCTTTAAACTATTCCCATTTTGACTTTGGGCCAAAATAAAGAAAGTGTAATATTGGTTGGCTTTCCAATTTTGCCCTTGATATGATGGTAAAAGTAAGATGTGATAGTTTGGTTATTACTGAAAAAGTATGATGTGATCAATAAGGTATGAAAAAGTAGGAGTAAAAATGGTTTTTTTAATAGAAAGTGGAAGTGTTTTAAAGAATTGATAAAAAACGAAAGGAAAAGGGTTTTATGAAACAGAGTGAGTATTTATTATAAATATTATTTCTTTATTATTATTATTTTCTTCTTGTATTCTTATTCTTATTTCCTACTTGATATTTATCACTATTTAGAGTAATAAATTTACTACCTTTTTAGGGTGTGAAATTACTAATTAATTTTAAATAATATTAATAATGTTAAAATATTGGAATAATAATATTGCTCCTTGAATTATGAAGTACATGATAGAGTATATATAGGAGAGACTCCTAACACAACTAGGAATAGAGAATGGAAACTAACTAACATACAACATCTACTACAAATAGGATTAGGAAGCTGACTAATAATGAAACACTACCATAACCAATACTACAAGAAGTACTATTAGTATTATTGTCTAACATCCCCC